ATTTATTTCTTTGGTTTACATAATAGTTTAAGAGTTTTATGTTGTTGTTTTCTGTCTCACCGTGACTGTTTATTAGTATAATGTCAGGGTCAATTTCGCGATATATATTACTTAGGTTAATTCTCTCGGTCTTCCAGTTTCTTACGTTGTGTTGTATTATTCTTAAAGTTCTTACTGTTTGTCTATTGTCCATTATTTCTTATACTTGGATTGTGGCAGTCAGTTGGAGTGGAGACCTATCATCCTGTTTCCCGCTTCTGACTCTTCTATACTCTGACGGGTCTACTATTTTAAAGTCTTTGGCCGTAATCTTTAGTTTGTCCGTAGTAATTAGTGACCAGACATAATCTTCACTTAGGGATTTTTCTTGTTATGTCCACTTGTATATCCCTCCTTCACAGTTTTTTACTATTGTCCCTCCTGTTGGTCTCGATGTTGGGATTCCATGTTTTGTTGTAGTGATAACTTTTAATCCAATTTCTTCAGCAGATTCAGGTTGTATATTGTGATCAGTTTCCATCTTATCTTCTCTCCTCCTACTCCTTTGTCTGTCCTTTTGTTATTTCTATCTTCTCTTTGTCACTTCTAGTCATTTGTCTGGGATCTCTATCAGTCGCTTGTGTTCCAGCTGTTGCTCCTTGCTCAAACCTTTGTTCGTCTTGATGTAGTCTTTCTCTCAGTTCGCTTGCATATGTTGTCTGAAATAGTTTTTCGGATTGTGGATTCTCTGGAAATATCATCTCTGGTAGGTTATTCAATTTAAACATTTTCCTTAATTTCTCATTGTATGATCCGGGTGCAATGATGGCTGTGCAATATTTTGGATGTACTAATCATTACTGCTATCATGTATTGGCTCATAGTTTATACTGTGGATTCTGGTCCTATGAGCCTCTTGGGCCACTCTCTTTTGCTATTTCGACGTATGTCGTATCCTTCTTAATCTTGTTCCTTTTCCTTGTTTCTTGTACTTTATCATGTGTTTTATTTGGGCGTGCCATTACTGGCGTCCTATGTCCTATGTATATATTCCCGAACATACCCACAGTTGAGACAGCCAACATGTGTATTCGCATTCAGTGTAGGTATGGTCGTGTATGGTCGTCGCCTGCACAATCTGAGCAGTACTTTTTTTCTTTTTCCGGACAGTCTCTCGTTGTGTGTTCTTCATATTTGTAGCAGGAGAAGCAAGTTTGCAGACTGATGAATGTCTCCTTCTTTATTTGATGTGGTGTGACTGACATGTTGAATATTAGAAAGCCCTGTTGTAAAACTTTCTCAGCCATTGACACTTCTTCAAACATGAGTATAGTCCTTTATCTTAATGACTTCTTCAATCTTCATCCACCTATTTTGGCGTTCCAGTTCTTCTTTCAGGTCTTCCTCCCGATCTCTTGATCGACTTGACGAACAAAAACTGATCTTTTTGCTTTTTGTTCTGGTGGCATGACAACAATAAGGCCTTCATTGTAAAATATATCTCTTGCTTCTTTTGAAAGGATTTTATCTGAATCAAAGTCATCTTTACAGATTACTTTAAAACCTTCATTGGTGCTGAATATTCTAGTTAGTTGGACTTGCAGTTTGTTGTAAGTGATTTCTGCCACTTTTCCCCTTCCAATAGAGTGTCCCTTATCTCTATGTTTTATTCTAATGCTAGTTGTCATCTTCTTGATTACATCTAATCCTACCCTATAACACAGGGCTCCTGCCTGGGAGCAGTGACCCCGCCCCCCTCTTGGACGGGCGTCGGGCTCTGCACCCAGGTTACCTGTGACTATAGTAATATCTAAAAGTTGCCACCTACCGGTGACCCCCGGACAAGGGGTGCCCTGCACTATCACAGGTTCCCTTGCCGGATCGACCGTATCGCGAAGTCCCGCCTCCCGTTCAAAGAACGGAGTGCATGAGGGGGATGAAAAAAGGAAAGAAGAGGACTTAGAGAGTAGAAACAGCCTACCTACCACGCCACGTTCGGTCAGCCAATCAGAGCACCGCAGTAAACGTGCATGTATCACGCCACCGTGGGGCACCACTGATTGGCCAATCCAGGACGTAGACGCACGGGTAGTAGTCAAAATTTGGGTAGGCCAAATATTTGTTTTTTCCAAAGTTGGAATTTCCCGTACAATCTGTGATGGTAATTACACCGTCACTATGTTGAGTAAGTACAATCACTAGGATTGAGTGTCTTATCACAACAAAGTTGCAGACTCAAACATGCAGCAAAAGAATCAGGTCTTCGCAGCTCCGTGTCTATTTTTACTTAGGCTAGCATACCTAAGTTAAAGCAAACTCCCCTTGCCAATACAAGAAGGAAGAGGATTTCTTATAGTCTAATAAACAATTCATCATGACCAAATACAGTATCTAACACAGGGGGTCCGGGGGCGCAGCCCCCGGTTAGCAACTAACCATTTGATTGCATTATCTCTGAGAATAGTTAGCAATTATCCATTGATTGCATTATCCCAGGTTAAGGGGTTGTGTGTGGTTCCAT